ATGGGCGAGTGCAAGGCACAGTGGGCTATGGGTGAGGGCAAAGCACAGTGGGGTATGGATGAGGCATGGGACACTGCAGGTTAAAGGCCATTTCGCTTGCTCTGCTGCCCTGCGTCCTGATGCCTGCCGGGGAGGAGGAGGGGGGGGAGGGTATAGGTGACCTACCTCGCCCAACTTTGGCAGATTATAACGGAGTAAGGACTAAGGATTGAGGAGAGGCGAGGAGGGCAAAAAAAGTATATGTGGGGCGGACGCAGTGACGAAAGGGTGCATGGAGAAAGGAGTGAAGATGAGTCAAGACGGAATGAGTGAGGAATTGAGTGCATAATGGAGGTCATGCTGGAGTTAGTGGAATCGAGAGTGTATGAGGGAAGAGTGAAAGAAGGTTAGAGGAAATTAACGTAAAGCTTGGAGAGGAAGATTTGAGTAAATGTAAAAGAGAGACAGACAGACAGATAGAGAAAGTAAGTATTGGCTTGTGTATGTGCGTGTGCACGTTTATGTAGCCTACGTCTGAATGTATTTGCGTCCCTACATATACATATTTAGTATATGTATGTGCGTAGAGGGGTATCTGGGTATATGTGAGGGAGGGGGTGGGGGTGGGTGTGGGTGTGGGGAAGGGGCATGGCACTCTTCTACCTCGCTCTCACGGACAACGAAGCTTTAAAAAAAAAACGTCCTGTTATTAAAATAGAATGTGACGTGAGGGTCCGCACGATATCCGCTTGAACGAAGAAGAGTGGGACAAAAAAAAATGTTTAGAAGAAGAGAAATGAAGAAAGCGAGGGGCAGGAGTTGTTGTAATAAAGGGAGGAATTGGGTGTAAAGGAAGAAGGGGGAGGAAAGGGAGAAGATGGAGGAGTGAAGAGCGAGAAAGAGAGAGAGGCAGAGAGGGAAGGAAGGATGGAAGGAGGAAAAAAGATATTAGCAAGAGAAAAATAGATAAAGGCTAGAAGAGAGAGAGAAAAAAGAAAGATAAAAATAAATAAACGAGACAAGGGAAAGACAAAGAAGGGATGAAGGAAGAAGACAGAATACCGAAAGAGGATGAAGGAAGAAGACAGAAGACCAAAAGAGAATGAAGGATTATTATTTTCCGATAAGCGTACAAATTCGGCGTCATGTGCGTAGAGGCGGCCGTTCCGCCGTGATGGGCCGGGGAGCCACGCGCTCTCGCCCCGTTATGCGTGCGTGTGAATAGGGAGGCTACGCTGATGGGGAGGTGATGGGGGGGGAGAGAGGGAAGAAGGGAGGGAGGGAGGGAGGGAGAGAGGGAAGAAGGGAGGGAGAGAGGGAGGGAGAGAGGGGGGAAGGTAAGAAGGGAGGGAGGGGGAGGGAGGGAGGGAAGGGAGAAGGAAGGAGGGATAGGGGGAAAGGGTGAGAGTGGGTGAAGGGAGGGATGGATGGATAGGTAAATGGAGGGGTGAGGTGAGAGAGGGGGGGTGGGAAGAGGAAGGGAGAAACTGAGGGATGGGAGAGAGGAAAGTGGGTTGCGAAGGGAAAGAGAAAAGTACGAAGGAAGGAAAATCCAAAGGAAGAAAAGAAGCAGAAGAAGAATGGAGAACAAAAAAAGAAAAAAAAAGGAAATTGAGGAAGAGAGGAATGATGGAATAAAGAGAGGAAGAGAGAAAAAAAGAAAAGGGAGTGAACAAGAGAGGGGGAGGGCGCGTGCACACACACATCCATAGCCTGTAATCTTTCTCTATTTCACAGCTGGCTCTACGTCACAGTTGGCCTGTTACTAGGTGCAGGAGGAGGAGGGGGAGGAAAGGGAGAGGGTGGAGAGAGGGGGAGAAAGAAGGGGAATGGTGAAAGAAGAGAGGAAAAAAAGGTATATTGGAAATGGAGAGGGAGGGAGAAGAGAAGGGAGGAAGAGAAATAAGAAATAAGCAGATGATGTAGAAATGAGGATTTAAAAAAAAATAGTTTCCAGGAACAGAAAAGAAAATGCAAGAACAAGGAAATGGATAATGCGAAAGAGCGACTAAAAGAGAGAACGAGAGGAACGAACAAAAGAGAGACAACGGATGAAAGAGAAGCGAGAGAACAAGCGAGCGAGGAGCCCGGGTATAAAGTGTGGTATTAAGGGCCCCGGTGCAATATTTACTCGCCTTTGGGATATGATGAGGGTTATTCCGCAAGATAAATGTGGCCGGACTGAAAGACGCCTTTTTTTTCCCTCTTTCTCTCTTCTCTTTCTCTCTCTCACTCGCTTCTCTTGCTCTTTTGTTTGGACTTGATTTTGTTTTCGTCTTGATTGGTCTTTTTTCTTTGCCTGTTGTTGATGATCAATGCAATGCTATCTTCATTAATCTTAACATGTTATTTATTTGTTTATTTTTTTATCTCGGTTAATATCATCATTATTATTATGCTCCTTATTATTACTATCATTCCACCTGGTTCTTAAAAACAAAAAACAAAAGGCGGCTTCAAATATATTTTTCCATTTTGTTTTTCTTTCCGAAGACGAATCGACGTCTGCTTGAGAATCCGACTAAGAACTCTTGCCTGCGGGGGGCTCATTACCTCGGCTGCGACCATTAATTGGATTTTTTTTTCTTCGCTTTTCGCTTTCTTGTGTATCGATGGAGGAAAAAAAAACGAAAAAAAAAGTGGGGTTGGTGAGAGTGTGGGGTGATTTTTCTTTAATATATATATATTTTTTTGTATGTTCGTGTTTGTTTGTGGCTGGGTCTCTGTGTTTGTCTCGGTCTCTCTCTCCCTCTCTCCCTCTCCCTCATTCTCCCTCTCTCCCTCCCTCGCTCCCTCATTCTCCCTCTCTCCCTCTCCCTCTCCCTCCCCCCCCCCTCTCTCTCTCTCACCTTCCCTCATCCTCCCTCTCTCCCTCTCCCCTCCTACCTCCCCTCCCCTCCCCTCTTCCCCCTCCCCCTACCCCCCTCTCCCCTCCCAGGGAGGGAGGGAGGAAGGAGGTGGCTTCGAGGCGGATAAACCGAGACCGCACGCCGCGCTTGGTACGGGGTAATGGAGCATTTAGCAGGTGTTTAATGCTACCTAACATACCTGCTAGTGCCCGTATGCCCCTCCCACCTCCTCCCTCCTCCCCTTTTCCTCCCCCTTCCCCTCTTCCTGCCTCCTTCTCTTTCCCCTTCCCCTCCTTCCCCCTTCCCCTTCTCCCTTCCCCCCTATATCTCACCCCTCCCCTCCCCCTTCCCAGTACCCTGTCGATACCCCCCGCGTGCTTGCCCAGTGGTTGTCATGTTCGCGAGGGGGGGCGTATGGATGCTAGTCTGGCGTCTGCACCATGTTGCTTCATGGGGGTTTCCTGCGTCTTTGCGGTGGGTGGGGAGGGGGAGGGGAGGGGAAGGGGATGGGGAAAGGGGAGGGGAAAGGGGAGGGAAGGGGATGGGGAAGGGGAGAGGAGAGGAGAGGAGAGGAGAGGAGAGGAGAGGAGAGGGATGCTGATAGGAAGAAGGGAAGGGATGAAAGAAGATCATTGGGGGTGAAGAGTAGGGGAGGGGAGGAATAGACTGATAGGGGTGAAGGGAGGGGGGGATGCTGATAGGGTGAAGGAGTGGGGGGGGGAAAGGGGTAAGATGGGAGACTAAGAATAAAATGGGGAACGGGAATGGGAATGAGAATGGGAATATTAGAATAACAGGGGAACCGTAGTTGTATGTATTTTAAAGTTGTGGTGGTGGTCTATTACTTTAGCTAACCATCTTTATTTACTGATAAGTACAAATACATCAGTTGATTTTACTAATTGATTATATGTATTTGTTTAATGTCCTCCTAATGTCCTCTTCCAACATTAGCCTAAGTTTGCTCTACCGTTGTACCTTATTTGAAGAATGTTAAAATTTCCCATAAGACTCTCCCCTCTTTTCTCCCCTCATTTTCGTTTCAAGATAATGTGTCATATTCTCGTAGCTTTGACCTTAATCGAAGAACAATGACTTCCCCTCAAACCGTCCGCGCACATACGTGGAGAGCATTTTTCCCCTCTTCGTATCTTGTTCAGGTGAAAAGCAATTTATTTCCCCATTCTGTTTATGTTCCGGCTTGATGAAAAAAAAAAAAATTGGAAAAACAAAATATTCCCTTTTCTTAAAGCAGAAAAAAAATAAATCCCCCCCCCCCTTCTAACGGTCCCCTTCTTACGGTCCCCCTCTAACGGTCCCCTCTCTTTCCCCTCACAGACATACTCCGGCCTCTTCTGCGTGGTGGTGAACCCCTACCGCCGCCTGCCCATCTACACGGAGAAGGTTATCGAGATGTACAAGGGCAAGAAGCGCCACGAGATGCCGCCCCACGTCTTCGCCATCACAGACTGCGCCTACAGGTCCATGTTGCAAGGTAAGTGTCGCTAGAGGGCGTTCGGTTCGGCGGGCGGCTTGGCTGTCGTTGCAGATTAGTTTTTATTATTTTTTTTTAATTTTTATTTATTTTTATTTATTTTTTTATTTTGTTTATTTATTTATTTATTTATTTGTTTATTATTATTATTTTCATTATTATTATTATTATTTTTTTATTTGATTAATATTGTGTGTGTGTGTGTGTGTGTGTGTTTTTTCATTTGTTCCTTCCATTCTCCCGTCATCTTCTCTACTTCTACTACTACTACTCCTTCCGCCTGAGCTCACCATCTCTCCTCTTCTCACCCTCCCTCCCTCCCTCCCTCCCTCCCTCCCTCCCTCCCTCCCTACCCCCCTCCCTCCCTCCTCTTTCTCATCTTCCCCTCCCTCCCTCCCTCTTTCTCATCTTCCCCTCCCTCCCTCTTTCTCATCTTCCCCTCCCTCCCTCTTTCTCATCTTCCCCTCCCTCCCTCTTTCTCATCTTCCCCTCCTCCCCTTTCTCATCTTCCCTCCTCCTCTTTCTCATCTTCCCCCTCCCTCCCTCTTTCTCATCTTCCCCTCCCTCCCTCTTTCTCATCTTCCCCCCTCCCCTCCCCCTTCCCAGTACCCTGTCGATAACCCCCCGCGTGCTTGCCCAGTGGTTGTCATGTTCGCGAGGGGGGGCGTATGGATGCG